TTGATTTTTTGGGGTGTCGGAGTGTCCGAGTTAGTATAGTGGCTAGTATTTCCGCCTGTCACGCGGAAGACCCGGGTTCAATTCCCGGACTCGGAGTGACTTTTTACCCTGCACTGTGTGTATTTTAATGCCATCATAAGAGCATTAACAGGCTGTATGCAGCACATATACTGTGAGGTTTGGCATGCGTAGAGCCGGGTTGACTCTACTCCGACATTCGGGTGAGCGGAAGAGCGGAAAGGGCACCACTTCTCCACAGAGCTTCCCAAGGCCCTTGTTCGTCTAAGACAAGGACGCCTAAAGAGAGGGAGAAATGTTAGGGGTTATGTGCCTTTGCAGGTCCCACGATATCTCTACGACTACGCCTTACCACCCGTAGGTACCATACGGGAATTGATGTATAGTCGCCGTCGAGGCGTACAGATGGCGTGGATCACATTAACGCGAGACGGGGCATTTCCGTTGGATCCATTTACCACAAGAAAATCCTACGAATGCTGGCGACTCCACAAATGGTCCAATTATGCCTCCAGAAGAAAATACTGAGTTCCATGTGGCAGTAGGAGTACCAAGGCCCCACCGGTCACCGACATCAAAATTATGCCTGATCGTAGATGTAACAGGAGAGCAATCGACCCCCAAAAGGAGCAATGAGAAGCCAATGTAGCGCAACGGCGTTGTCGTGAACGATGGAGAAATGAATGAGATTCCTTTTTCCGCTTCTATGCAACTTGCACTTGAAAGAAGAGCTTTCAGACACAAACAGCCTTTGGCTGCGACGATAGCAGATGTGATTTGGCACACGGGTTCTTCAGGGAGTGGAGAGTGGCCGGCTCGGTGTGTGCCGCTGTTTGTTGCACTCGGAGGAGTAGGTGATCGCCATATCGTAATTAGGACATTAAGAACGAGAGTCACCAATGCTTACGAAGTGGCACAGTGCAGTGTCCAAATTGCACAATCAAGGACAACCCGGCGTGCTGTCGTAGCTGCTCCAGGAGTTGCACCCTCTACTATTGCAGTTGTTGCTGCATCTACTGCTGCTGCAGTTGTATAATGGAGAGGTGCTTGCTGTTCCATTTGATTTTCTGGGGTACCATGGTGTCCGAGTTAGTATAGTGGCTAGTATTTCCGCCTGTCACGCGGAAGACCCGGGTTCAATTCCCGGACTCGGAGTTCTACTCGTTCTTCCGGCATGTTTATTCTAATGCCCAGTGTATGCTAAACGGCTGAGGGCAGCAACGTAATGGCAACTTTGCCATAGCTGGATCTATGATGGGTATAGTCAAAGGGATGCGCGAAATTGAGAGGAAAAGCAGAAAGGACGCAGCGTCTACACATAGCTACCCAAGGCCCTGACTCATCTAAGACATGGGCGCCCATATGTGGGAGGAGATGTCAGACGCTTCTGACTATCCGTTGCCTTTGAAGGGCCCTGGGATCCAAAGATGAGAAGGGGTATTGCAGGGCATTCGACGTATTTCTTATTTCGTACTGTTGCTCTCTGGGTTCTTAATGCTGTATCATCTGCTGGTAGTGCAGAATATCGTGCTTGGTAACCATTGGGGCACTTGCTGTTGAGTGGCTGAATATCGCATCTCCTCCTACAGTTGCACCGTCAACTGTTGCTGTTGTGGCAGTTACTGATGCTGCAAATGTGCAAGGGTGAGGCGTTTACTATTTCAGGTGATTTTCTGGGGTACCTTAGTGTCCGAGTTAGTATAGTGGCTAGTATTTCCGCCTGTCACGCGGAAGACCCGGGTTCAATTCCCGGACTCGGAGTGCTTCGTTTTGCTCCGGCATGTTTACTCTAATGCCCTACAGATCCTTAACGCCTGGCAACAGCGCCGTTGTATAATTGTTGAATGAACGGTCTCCTTAGTTATCCAAGCTTCTATTGCGGGGGAAACGTGAGCGATAGTTAAAACTGGGTATGAAGTGGCCGTATTCCGCGAACAACAAAGAGGAGGTGCTATAACATGTCTATACATTGGGGATGATTCTGCGATTACGCTTCACCAGCGTCGATATGTGAGGACATGTATTCATGACCGACATCCAGGCGTTTCGCATGTGTGGGTCACACTAGAGCGATCCCGGACATTGTTGGATCAATTTACCACGACAATACACATTTTGTAGTCTATTCCACCAAGTGCCTGAATGAGGTCTCCAGAAGGAGATGTTGACTTCTGTATACGAGAAGAAATAGCAAGGCCCCACCGTACCACATCTACCAAGAGAATGCCTGTTAGTAAGTGCAACATGGAAGCAACCAGCAGTCTCCACCTGACAAAGCAGCGATGTGACGCCAAGGCAATACAGATGCGCTGATGTGGACCATGGAAGAATAGCAGCTCAAGTAGGAAGAACTCCGAGTCCGGGAATTGAACCCGGGTCTTCCGCGTGACAGGCGGAAATACTAGCCACTATACTAACTCGGACGTTTGTACCACAAACCTAAGCAACCCAAAAACGATAGCATACAGAACGTATCGCAGGAGCAGGTGACGCATTTCTTATATCTCGCTCCTGCTGTTTGCGTCCCTAATGCTGGATCAGCTACTGCTGATGCTCATTCTAGTATGTTGGTTGGTAGACTTTCGGGGATTGGCACTTTAATGGCTTTGTGTGGGGGTTTTCCTGCTGTTTCTGTTGATTTTTTGGGGTGTTGGAGTGTCCGAGTTAGTATAGTGGCTAGTATTTCCGCCTGTCACGCGGAAGACCCGGGTTCAATTCCCGGACTCGGAGCAATTACTTAGCATGCTGCTGTTATCATGAATGCCCTATAGAATGAGATGCCAAACGCGTTTGCTTATGCATGGCCTCTGGATGGCCCTGGCCCTCAACGACAAGAAGGGGCGTCGACTGAGCCAAGAAGGCTGTCAACAGCATCGGATGATGGGGGAGAAGAATGATACATGTGATTGATTGCGACCCTGCACCGAATGTGTGTCCCACCTGCAATGTCAGCCTCACGTCCAGTCCGAACCTTGTGTGGTAACCGAGCACTTGTAGCCTGAAGGCGATAATTCCTATATAAAGTAACATGATTTGTTCCCAATAATATAATATTTGTGTATCTGTACTCTAGACACCTAGAGCTCCCATTTTAGGTCTATTGTACTGCATGTGCACTAAAGAGACACCAAAGCAGTTCGGACGCGCTGACGTCAACGATGGAAAAACGAGAACGATTCCTCGTTCCGGATCCACCCAATTTGCAGTTGAAGAAAGAACTCTCAGACCCAACCAGCTTCGGGCTGGGACGATAGTTAGTGGCACAGTGGTTCTGAAGAGCGTGGTCAGTGGCCGGCTCGGTAAGTGCAGATGATTTTACTAATCCAATACATCAATAATTCGATGAGGGCAACGAGTGATTTGATTTTTGTTACAAAATGAACAATTGAGCCCAGAGCGACTCGAACGCCCAGCCTTCTGATCTGGAGTCAGACGCGCTACCATTGCGCCATAGGCCCCTCGAAAGACTGAAATGCCGATCTCACGCCATCCATACTCTATACTTCGCCAACCACAAACAATCTCCTCTCGTTGTCACTAATACTGTGGAAGACTACGAGGTATGTGCAAGTTAGAGCAGTTATGTATTAACGTCTTTTTATTATATATACTCTATATTTAACGTGTTGAAATCCATTACAAATATTATCTACTAATCCATTTTTTGTTCGCTGTAAACCAACATTTGACTAACATCAACACCAACATCAACAAGGGAATCAAATGTTCCAGCATAAAGCACTGCAAAAACAGCTGTAGAGACAGCAGAGAATAAGTTCTAACAATTCGGAGGTGAGTGTTAGTACACTTTTGCATGTCAGGTGGGCTTTTGGGGCTCTGTACTGTCCGAGTTAGTATAGTGGCTAGTATTTCCGCCTGTCACGCGGAAGACCCGGGTTCAATTCCCGGACTCGGAGTAACTTTCTATCATCCAGCCTCGTTTATTCTAATGCCCTAATGGGAGCATAACCTGGTTGTACACGTGCCTTACAATGGGCCTCTACCGATCACCCGGATTCAACCTTGAGAGTAGAGCTATCACAGATCTAGGCATGACAAAGCTCACTTTAAGGCACGTATATTGCCCTCTTATGTTCCCCTTAATGCATTAGAATAAACAAGCTGGAGGATAAATAATTGCTCCGAGTCCGGGAATTGAACCCGGGTCTTCCGCGTGACAGGCGGAAATACTAGCCACTATACTAACTCGGACAGTATAGAGACCCAAATTCCCGCCTGAAAAGCGAACGTCTCGAAACACTCATCTCATAGTTGTTTGTTGTTGCTCTATGGTGTCCTTTCTGGTTTAGCTCCCTTCTTTGGCTAACAACGTTCAAGCCCCATCTGCACTTCCAGACCCCAACGCGAATATCGGTTGCTAAACAGAGAGGTGCCCCCATGGATGCAAAGCAGTGTACCCACGTTCAAGCCAAAAAGTGCCTTACTGAGAAGTGGCCCCATCAGCTCATTGCCCTGCCGTGGCGAGGCTGTGTATGACAACACTACACGCAGCTACTGAGGACGTTTGCCTGCGTTTTTCAGCGTCAATAGTGTGCGCGAAGCAGACCGTACTTAGGGGGGCTTTAAGCTTTCCATACACTTCAATCTTTCATTGCCCGCATCTTACACGTAATTATAAAAGAGATTAGTCTATAACATTGGAGAGAGGCGGGCGATCTAAGGCCCCCGTTATAGGGGATCTAGACAGGGACCTACTTCTAATAGACTGTTTTAAAGGGGATTTAAAGAAATATATCTGCATAATATTTTGTTTAAAAGGTAGAAGGGAATAAATTATATCTAAATGGGGGCAAGAAAAAGGCAAGAAATCTACGAGGACCACTGGCGACTGCGTAGAGGCGTCTATAAAACGTGGGAGAGAGTGTTAAGTTTTTAGTTGACGTCTTAAAGAGTCTTCTTTATTATTTTATCTTTAATTAAAACTCCTTGTCTGCATTCAAAAAAATGTATTTCAATGCATGCTGCTTGCCAGCAGCATATACACGACCCAAAACAACTGCAGCAGCAGCAACAGCAGCAGCAGCAGCAGGACGGGGACCGCTGCCAAAGCAGGCCCGTGCGGTTTGCTGGGCTTAATAAACCTCAATCCCTTAGATGCAATATCTTTATCATAATCCTTTCTTTAAACTTTAATTTATCTTCATTTCTTCTACTCGCATTACTAGCAGCGCAGCGCCTCTCCTTCCTCCTGCCGTTGTTGTTGCCTCTGTAGGGTTTAGGGTTTAGGGACTAGCGATGTGACTTGCCCTGTCGTCAAGGTTTAGGGTTTAGGGTTAAGGGTTTGGAGCAATGTCTGTCTTGCTCGAAGATCCCTTCTACCCCGTTGCTGCTGCAGCAGGCACAGCAACTGCATGCATTTTGTCTGTATTGCCGCTGCTGGGTCAAGGCTTTCAGCTTCTGTGGGAGCGTCGAAACAGCAACAGCAGCAACAACAGCAGCAGCAACAGCAGTAGCAAGACAGGGGTAGCCGCGGCGGCAGCAGCACGCGGTGTACATACATCCCCCAAGACCCTTGCCCTTCGCATCATATTGATGGTCCCTGTTTATGCTGTTACATCCCTCATTGCCTTCCTCTATTGTTCTCCCCTCAATTCCCTACCTTCTACAGCAGGAGCAGCAGGAGAAGCGGAAGCTGCTAGTGCTGCTGGTGCTTTGGAGGAAGTATCCTCTGCTGCCCTTGCTCCTGGGGCACGACACCTGTCCCCTCGTGCTGCAGTAGAGGCAGCAGCAGCAGCAGCAGCAGCACTGCAGCAAGGCAGCGGAGGATGGATAGGCCTATGGATGAGGGGTATAAGAGAGGGGTATGAGGTCTATGCCCTCTATGCCTTCTTAGAGTTACTTATTGCCCTCTTAGGAGGAGAGCAGCAAGCTGTTAATCAACTACACCTCAAGGTATGCTGCTGCTGTTGTTGCCGCTGTTGCTGTTGCTGCTGCTTCTCCTGCAGCTGCTGCTGCACCAGCTGCTGCTGCTGTTGTTTGTGAAACTGCTAAATATGTGGGAGTCAGCAGCAGTAGCAGCAGCAGCAGCAGCAGCAGCAAGCACCCCATCACCTGCAACCAGTTGGTGGAAAGAAAAGGCGACAACTAATTGTCCCTTTGCTATTACCGGGCTTGTTGCTGTTATTGCTGCTGCTGCTGCTGCTGCTGTTGCTGCAGGGGTCTCTACAGCACTTGTGGCCACTTAATCACATCTTGCCTCCCATGGAATGCAACAGGTGCGGGGGTGCCTCTGCTGTTGCTGGTGTTGTTGTTGCTGCTGTTGCTGTTGCTTTGCCTTCGGGTGTATGCACGTACACCTAAAGCAGCAGCAAAGAGAGACAGCAAAGGAGACAGTGTGCCTCTTTATGCGTCCCCTTTTGCTGCAGACGATGGCTTGGCCATATAAAGAGACTCGCTGCTCAGTTCGTCTTCGTCAAGCCTGCCGCATTCGTCAGTTGCTGTTGCTGCTGTTGCTGTTGCTTCTGCTGTTGCTGTTCTTGATGCTGCTGCTGCTGCTTTTGTAGCTGCTGTTGTCGATGCTGCTGCTCTTACTGTCCAGGAGCCACAATCTGCCTCCTTTTGTTGCCCTTGTTTCTTTTTTTTTGCTCCAGGTTCTTAGTGCCTGCATGCGCCAAGAAGGCTTTCTTTTCCTCGTACTCGTCAGCAACATATCCGCTGCTGTGAGGCACTTCCTGCTGCTGCTGCTGCTGCACCTGCTGCTGTAACTGTTGCTGTTGTGCTGCTGTTTCGAGCACTGTATTTCGTTGCTGCTGCTGCTGCAACGCTCCATTTTGCTGTTGAAGAAGTGTACGCATACCCGAGGTCCCTGCTCAACTTGTGGTTTTCCCAGGATGTTAAGTTGCTGCTGCTGCGGCTGCTGCTGCGGCTGCTGCTGCTGCGTTGGCGTGTACGTACAGGTGGCAATGTACGCTCTCATTCTTTTTTATAAGGCAGTGCAGAGACCTTTGTCTCCTTGGAGACCCTTGCCAAAGTTTTTATTTCTTAAGAGTATTGTCTTTCTCTGCTTCTGGTGAGGGTTTAGGGTTTAGTGTTTCGTGTTTAGGGTTTTTACGGTGTCTCTTCTATCTACCTAGCCTCAAGGGTTTGGCTCCGCCCCAATTTAGGGTTTAGGGTTTGGGCTGATTTACAAGGATTAGGTTTTAGGAGTCTCCTTTTGCCTGCCCTAGTGGCTGTCTAGGGTTTAGGGTTTAGGGTTTGTGTTGCTGTCTTCCTTCGCCTGTGTTGCTTATTGTAGGCAATCCCTTGCCCTTCGCTGGATAGCGAGGCTCTTCCTTATAGGCGCAAGCGGCGATGGAGCAGCGCCAGCAGCAGCAGCAGCCGCAGCCGCAGGAAGACTGCAGGACTGGCTTATTTGCATAGAAATGGTCCCCTGCGCGGTACATATCCTAAACCCTAAACCCTAAACCCTATAACACGATTACTAGATGCCTCCTTTAAATATCTGTTATTCGTGCTTCCTGCACCTCATACTTTAGCTTTTCCTGGTGCTGCTGCTGCTGCTGCTGCTGCAGATCGCACATTTGTGGGCGTTCCCTGCATGGGAATTTGAGGCATTTGAAAAAGCGGAGGGTCACAGGACGCCCTACAGCAGCAGTAACGCAGCAGCAGAGGAGTGGTCTATGCTGCTGCGGCAAGGGGATCCTACTATTTCTGCTGCTGCTGCTTCTCCTCCTGCTGCTGCTGCTCCAACTGGTGGAGTGTACACAGAGACAGCCGCAGTTGAAGAGCCAATGCACGAAGGCGAGCTAGGCAGCAACAGCCCCAGCAGCAGCAGCAGCAGGAAGAACAAGCTGAAAAAGCCGCTGAAGCAGCTGGTCAACGGAGTGCAGCAGCTGCTGCTGTCCGATGCTGTGCTAAGTGATGCAACGCATGCAGTGTTTGGGCAGCAGCAGCAGCGGGAGTTCAATCTGGAGACCCGTTCACCAGCAGCTACCATACACTCGTAGCTGTTGCTGCTGTGGTTGCTGCTGCTGCTGTTGTTGTTGTTCGCACTCACCTTGATGCAGCAGCAGCTTGCTCGGCGTGCGTTTGCATCAAAGGCTGCAAGCGCCTTTGCAACAGCTCCAGGAGCTATAGTTAGTAACTGCTGCTCAATGGGTCTCCAAAATCAGCAGCAGCAGCAGCAGCAGCGAGTAAAGATGGTGGCACTCTGCTGCCCCTCCTCCTTTTACTTTTTAAGCAGGCAGCAAAAAGGCATTATTGCCTACGCAGCGAATACGCAGCGAATAAACAGACGAACGTTAATGGCGCAGTGTTTGTCCTCTCCTACAGCTGCTTCACCTGCTGCCGCTTCTGCCGGTGCACTGTTAGTGGCAGTAGCAGTAGCAGCAGCAGCAGCAGCAAGAAGGCGGATAGGACGGGATATGTATCGGCATGGATCCTCATCATCCCCACACCTTATATGTTCTTTTCCTCCTCTTGAAGCGCTGCTGCTGCAGGTGTGCCTGCAAGGTTCATGCTACCTACTTAGATATAGTGCAACAGCAGCACCAAGGGTAGCCCGCAGCGGCTGCTGCTGCAGCACCCAGCAGTACGACAACGAATGTACTTGTTTAGCATCTCCATATAGGGATAAAGCAGCAAAACAACAGAAGAGAGAATATAAAAATGCATGCAACACTGCAGCAGCCACAGGAGCTGTTTGTCTCCAGTTATAGGGCTGGAGCATCTGCTTTGCTGCTCCGTTGCTGCACTGCCGCAGTGTTGCTGCTTCGGTGCAGCAGCAGCGGTTGCAGCACAGGGGCCCACGTGCACATCGATGTATACACCTACCGGAACAACAGCACGACGCACGCTGACAGGTGCTTTCCGTTATTGGTGTTGCTGCTGTTGCTGCTGCTGCTGCTGCTGTCTGCGCAGCTTCTGGAAAGTTCTTGGGAAACTAGACTACCCTGGTTGCTCCGTGCAATCAATGTGAGGACTAATTTTGTCTTTAAATCTTTCTCATACTGCTATTGGTATCTTCTCGACAGTCGCTGCTATTTCTGCTGCTGCTGCTGCTGCTGCATCCGCTGCTACTCTTGGTGATGCGGCCGCATCTGCTTATCTGCTGGTGCTCTCCTCATTGTTTGTATCGGCAGCGTAGGCCCCGATGAAGAAAGAGCAGGGGCAGAAACGGCTGTATAAGAAGCCGCTGCTGCTCTGGCGTAACAGTTATGCTTAGTTGTGCTTAGATCCGTTAAGGTTCTGCTGCTGCGAAGAAAGACCACAAAGTGGCTCGCTACAGCACTTGCTGCTGCTGCGGCGGTTATTAGTGCCCGGTGTAACTTGCTGCGGTGCAGCAGAAACAAAAGCAACAGAAACGATAACAGCAACAACGGAAACAGCAGCAGCAGCAGCAACAACAACAAGAGCAGCGACAACAATAGCAGCAGCAAGAGCAGCCTATGAGTAAAGTGTGTGACTGTACACCAGGAGAAGATAATTGTGACGTAAATGCAAAGACCCGTTTTTTCTATTTATTTATTTTTTACAAATAAAAAGCAAAAGGAAGAAGAGAGGAGAAGGAGATAGAAGCAAAAAGAGCATCCCTATCCAGCAGTGTCGGCTGCGCCCCCACGCATGCAGCCGACAGCAGCAGCAGGGTATGCTGCTGCTACTGCTATACAATAACTGCAGCAGATCAAGTTATTAGGACATTTATAATATTAGGCAACAAAATAAAGGTTTATTCCTTAAGGATTTCCCTCTATATGCAACGGCAGCAGGCCGGGGGCAATGGGCATGCAGCCGCTGCTCTCGATTGCTGCTGCTGCTGCTGCTGCTCCTGAGTGATCCATCTCTTCTGTCCCGTCAACTTGCTCCAAGTCTGCCTCTCCCAGTTACGAGATCTTTGAGGAGGCGAGGGCTCAGATGCAGCAGCAGCAGCAGCAGCTGCTGCTGCTGCTGCAGCATCCCTCTATGATATCTGTAGTAACTTAACGAGAGCCATGAGGCCTCAGCAGCAATGGCTGCTGCTGCTGCTGCTGCTGCTGGTGGCTACCCGCTTGTGCTCTGCATCGCTGCAGCAGGGCCTGCTCGCTGGCCTGTACGTGCCCGCTCGGGCCTCAAACAGCAGCGGCAGCAGCAGCAGCAACACTTGCTGCAGCAACTACTCCAGCAGCAGCAGATACATTAACATCAGCAGAATTAGGACTAGCAGCAGCAGCAACAACAACGGCAGTAGGAGAAGAAGCACTTGCTGCAGCGGCTTTATCTCCAGGGCAGTTGATCTCAGCCAGCCGCTGCTGCCTCACCGACAATGGAGCCATTTGCCTGCGGCTGCTACCAGCAGCAGCTCCTTGCCCAAAGCAGCAACAGCAGCAGCAAAAGCAACAGCAGCAGCAGCAGCAGGAGATACCTGGGAGCCGACGAACCCCACGCTGAGGGATTTGCTGCAGCGGCAGCTGCTGGCAACAGCAAGCGACCTTAAAGGGCTCGACTCTCTCCTCAACTACAACCGCAAAGCAGCAGCAGCAGCAGCAACAGCAGCGGCAGCAGCAGCAGAAACAGGGCCATGCCCGCCTCGAGCAGCCACCTCTGCAGCAGATGCTGCAGCACAGGCTGCTGCTTTGGAGCTGCTGCAACCTTTCCCCCTCCACGACCCGAGCAGCAGCAGCAGCAACGGCGGCAGCAGCAGCAGCAGCAAAGGCCTTATCAGTTCTAATATTTCCTTTTATGTTGGTATTGATATGACGGGGCCCTCCTTGCATGCAGGCCATTTGCTGCCGCTGCTGCTGCTGCGGCGTTTGTGGCTATGGGAGGGAGTGCAACCTGTGCTGCTGCTGGGGACAGCAACAGCACGCGTCGCGCTGCATACACGCAAAGGCAGCAGCAGCAATAGCAGCAGCAGCAGCAGCCATGATGAGGCCTTGCTGCAGCTGCTAGGCTGTGGGGGATGGAAGTCCTACGATGAGGAGATCGAAACTAACTGCAGCAGCGTGCTGCAGCAGCTGCGACGGATATTTGCTCTACCAACCCAGCAGCAGCAGCAGCAGCAGCAAATGAATTTGCCTATGCCCTTAGTGGTGCGTAACGACAGGTGGTTAGAGAAGATCCCTCTTGGGGCTTTCCTTGCATGCACTGCTCCTCGGCTGTCCCTAGCAGACATTATCCCAAGAGCAGCAGCAGCTGCAGCAGGAAGGCAGCAGCAGAACACATCAGCAGCGCGCAGCAGCAGCAGCAGCAGCAGCAGCGCTGTCGAGGACGACAGGCCATCGGAGGCCTTCGTTGAAGCCGTCGATGGTGCAACTGACTTGCAGCAACAGCAGCAGCAGCAGCAGCAGCAGAGCCAGCAGGAATTGGGTGTAGGAGGAGGTGCAGCAACAGCAGCAGATATAAATTATGCTTTGCTGCAGGCATTAGATTTCGTGCTGCTGTCCAAGTGTCTCCGCTGCTGCTGCCAAATAGGAGGAAGAGACCAATGGAAAAATATATCCACGGGCTTACACGTTGCTCGTCGTCTGCTGCAGCAGCCGCAGCAGCAGCAGCAGCAGCAGCATCAGCAACAGCAGGAGGAGAATGTCCAACAGCAGCATATGAACGAGCAGTCACAACCGCACCAGCAGCAGCAACCTCTGCAGCACAAGCAGCAGCAACAGGAGCAGCAGCATAATGGTTTATTAGGTATAACAACAATATTATTAGAGGGTATAGATGGTATAAAGATGGGTAAAAGGGTAAAAAGAGGAAAAGGAGGAATTATTTGGCTAAGTGACCAGTGGTCTGGTCCATTGGTCTTCTGGCAAAAATGGAGAAATACAACAGACCAACATATTATACAGTAAATATTTTCTTTATTTATACTCTATTCTTTATTATATATTTATTTTATCTATAATTAGTCTTTTCTTTATTTATACTCTATTCTTTATTATATATTTATTATATTAATAATATTTATAATAAATAATGATCATTATAATTATTATATTAATAATAGCTATAAATAATAATAATAATAATAATAATAATAATAATAATAATAATAATAATATATAATAGGAATGATTATAGTTTTGCTTGCTGCTGCTAATGCTAATGCTGCTGCTGCTAATGCTGCTGCTGTTACTGCTGCTGGTGCTGTTGCTGTTGCTGCTGATGATGATGGTGTTGTAAGACGGCTGCAAGGACACAAAGTATTGTTGTTGTTGCTTTTGCTGGGCATTCATCGTTCGCAACAGCAACAGCAGCAACAGCAGCAACAGCAGCAACAGCAGCAGCAGCTGTGTCTTTGTTGCATGCGTTTGCTGCTGCAGGCTGCTGCTGTGGTTTTCTGAGAGGCCAGCGGAGGAAATTATTGCAGCAGCAAAAGACCAATCTCCTGCCAATTTAAACAAACTTAAGGTATGTACTAGCTGCCGCTGCTGCTGCTGCTGCTGCTGCTGCTGCTTCGGAGCTTCTTGCTGCAAGCGGTGTTTTCCCCTCAACTGTTGCGATGTTTCATCTGAATTTGCTGCTGCTGCTGCTGCTGCCTTTGTTGTTGTTGCTGCAGAGGGAATTGGCTGATGAACTTACTCTTCTTGTCCACGGGGAGGAAGGACTGCGCAGTGCTCATGCTTCCCTTTCTTTCCTGTCCCGCGGCAGTAGCAGTACTAGCAGCAGCAACAGCAGCAACAGCAGCAACAGCAGCAGCAGCGACACTGCAGCAACGGAGGAATTCCAGGACGAATTGCCGTTGCTGCCAACACACTTCATATCTTCTTCAGAGTTCATTGAGGTGGGCAACAGCACCAGCAGCAGCACCAGCAGCAGCACCAGCACCAGCAGCAGCACCAGCAGCAGCAACAGCAACAGCAACAGCAGCAGTAACAATTACAGCATAAGCAGTTGCTGCTCCTGTAAGGTTTCCTTTGTAAGGAAGTTTTTGTAGCAACACTTGTTGATTCTGTTGCGTCTGTGTCCTTGCTGCTGCTTTGTCCGTCCTTCTACTGCTGCTGTTGTTGTTGTTGCTGCTGCTGCTGCAGGAGACAGGGCCTCCTTTACCACGAGTGTTGCGTAATGTTGGTTTGTCTCCTTCTGCCCTTGAGGGTTCCCGTCTTATAAAGGATGGTGCTGTTCGTCTTAATGGAGAAAAGATACAAGATACAAATAGACGCCTGCTGCTGTCCGACTTCAAGCAGCAGCAGCAGCAGCAGCAGCAGCAGCAAGAGGTAGCTGCAGTAGCAGTGTTGACTGTTGGCAAGAACCGCCTCGCTGCATTGGGGCTGCAGCAAGAGCATGCAGATGATGTCTTGTCTTAGTATTTAGAGGTTATGCTTGTTAGTAAATTAATAGCATTTAATTCAGCAGCAGCAGCTGCTGCTGCTGCAGCTGCTGCAGCTGTTGCAGCTGTTGCACCGGAAGCAGAAGCACCTGCAGCACCTTGTGTGTCTGTTGCTGCTACAGCAGCAGTAGCAACAGTATCTTTACCGCAGCAAGACAAACAAACATTTGCTGCAGCAGCAGCTGCAGCTGCTGCTGCAGCAGAACAAAGCCTCCGGAGAAGGATGCTACCAATTTAGGGAGAAAGAGAAAGAGAAGAGACAGACAGAGACAGAGATATAGGCACAGGAAGAGACAGAGAGACAGAGAGACATACAGAGACAGGGAGACAGAGACAGAAAGAGACAGAAAGAGAGGGAGAGACAGGGAGAGAG